CAGAAGCTGAAGAGATCAAGAGAAGATGGCGAGACTATACAGAAGATCTGTATAGGAAGGATAATAATATTGAGGATAGTTTTGACGGTGTGGTGAATGAATTAGAACCAGACATCCTGAGGAGTGAGGTTGAATGGGCCTTAAGAAGCATTGCTAACAACAAGGCAGCAGGAGATGACGGGATCCCAGCTGAACTGTTTAAAATCTTAAAAGATGATGCTGTCAAGGTGATGCATGCCATTTGCCAGCAAATATGGAAAACACAAGAATGGCCATCAGACTGGAAAAAATCAACTTATATCCCCATACCAAAAAAGGGAAATGCGAAAGACTGCTCAAACTTCCGTACAGTGGCCCTTATTTCTCATTCCAGTAAGGTAATGCTCAAGATCCTGCAAGGAAGACTCCAGCAATACATGGAGCGAGAGTTGCCAGATGTTCAAGCTGGGTTTAGAAAAGGCAGAGGAACGAGAGACCAGATTGCCAATATCCGCTGGATAATGGAGAAAGGCAGGGAGTTTCAGAAAAACATCTACTTCTGCTTCATCGACTATTCTAAAGCCTTTGACTGTGTGGATCATAATAAATTGTGGCAAGTTCTTAGTGGGATGGGCATCCCAAGCCACCTTGTCTCTCTCCTGAGGAATCTGTACAAGGACCAAGTAGCAACAGTAAGAACTGACCACGGAACAACAGACTGGTTCAAGATTGGGAAAGGCGTACGGCAAGGCTGCATCCTCTCACCCAACCTTTTTAACTTGTATGCAGAACACATCATGCGATGTGCGGGGCTGGATGAATGCACAGCTGGGGTGAAAATTGCTGGAAGAAACATTAACAACCTCAGATATGCAGATGACACCACTCTGATGGCCGAAAGCGAGGAGGAGCTGAGGAGCCTTCTAATCAAGGTGAAAGAAGAAAGCGCAAAAGCTGGGTTGCAGCTAAACATAAAAAAAACCAAGATTATGGCAACAAGAATGATTGACAACTGGAAAATAGAGGGAGAAAATGTGGAGGCCGTGACAGACTTTGTATTTCTAGTTGCAAAGATTACTGCAGATGCAGACTGTGGCCAGGAAATCAGAAGACGCTTACTTCTTGGGAGGAGAGCAATGTCCAGTCTCGATAAAATAGTAAAGAGTAGAGACATCACACTGGCAACAAAGATCCGCCTAGTCAAAGCCATGGTATTCCTGTAGTAACCTACGGATGTGAGAGCTGGACCTTAGGGAAGGCTGAGCGAAGGAAGATCGATGCTTTTGAACTGTGGTGTTGGAGGAAAGTTCTGAGAGTGCCTTGGAGTGCGAGAAGATCCAACCAGTCCATCCTCCAGGAAATAAAGCCCGACTGCTCATTGGAGGGAAGGATACTAGAGAAAAGTTGAAGTACTTTGGCCACATCATGAGGAGACAGCAAAGCCTAGAGAAGACAATTATGCTGGGGAAAGTGGAAGGCAAAAGGAAGAGGGGCCGACCAAGGGCAAGATGGATGGATGGCATCCTTGAAGTGACTGCACTGACCTTGAAGGAGCTGGGGGTGGTGACGGCCGACAGGGAGCTCTGGCGTGGGCTGGTCCATGAAGTCACGAAGAGTCGGAGACGACTGAACGAATGAACAACAACCATTATATTGTAATATTATATACATACAATATATATTATTAGCATAGTACAATATAAGTATTATATATTACTTTATTGTACTATACCATTATATTGTAATATTATTAGTAATATTACATGTAATATAAAATATATAATTATATTATTATTAGTATATTGTATAACAGGATTGTATACTGCAGATTTTGTCTCATTAATCCCTATCACGAAGCAGGAAGAAATGTTGCTTGTTAAATTCAATGAGACTTCTTTCTCAGTAATTTTTTAGTAGTGAGGTGAATTGAGTGAATCAATCTTGTCCTTCAGCTTACCAAATTGCTTAAATTTGTAACCCACTGACAAATGTGACAGGTGAAAAATTGAATAGGAGAGATGGAGGAAATAAAAGGTAACAGTAAAGGTTTTCCCCTGACATTAAGTCTAGTCGTGTCCGACTCTGGGGGTTGGTGTTCATTTTCATTTCTAAGCCGAAGAACTGGCATTGTCCATAGATACCTCCTGGATCATGTGGACAGCATGACTGCATGGAGTGTTGTTACCTTCCCGCTGGAGTGGCACCTATTGATCTACTCACATTTGCATTTTTTTTAACTGCTAGGTTGGCAGAAGCTGGGGCTAACAGCGGGAGCTCACTCTGCTCCCTGGATTTGAAGCGGCGACCTTTCAGTCAGCAAGTTCAGCAGCTCAGCGAGAGAGAAAATACAATAAAGCAGGAAATGATTAGTGATTATCAGAAGATCCAGAAGGGCAGAGTATATAAATATAAAACTAATATTGCTAATTTTTTAATTAGTCCTATTTAAAAAAATTAACAATATTAGTTTTGTTATATTTATATACCCCGCCCTTCTCACACCTTAGGGGACTCAGAGCACAAAAGTCAATACTGACACTGAAATACAACACTGTCTGAGCTCTGCGAGTGCAGCATTTTTCTGAATGACGCAGAGTGTTGGAGGACCAGGAAATCTGTAGGGAGACCAAGGTGCTTGTTTATAAAGCTATTGTCCTCCCAAACCTGTTATACACCTGGGAAACATGGACTGTCTACAAACATCACACTCAACTCCTGGAACCATTCCATCAGCATTGCCTCCCAAAAATCCTGCAAATCTCTTGGGAAGACAGGGGGGCAAATGTCAGCATGGGTTGTTGTAGGTTTTTTCGGGCTATATGGCCATGGTCTAGAGGCATTCTCTCCTGACGTTTCGCCTGCATCTATGGCAAGCATCCTCAGAGGTAGTGAGGTCTGTTGGAACTAGGAAAGTGGGTTTATATATCTGTGGAATGACCAGGGTGAGACAATGTCAGCATGCTGGAAGAAGCAAAGGCCACCAGCATTGAAGCGATGGTCGGTCCTCCGCCATCAACTCCACTGGGCTGGCCACGTTGTCCGAATGCCTGATCACTATCTCCCAAAGCAAGAACAGGAAATGTAATGTTGGTGGACAGGAAAAGAGATTTAAAGATGGGCTTAAAGCCAACCTTAAAAAATGTGGCATAGACACTGACAACTAAGAAGCCCTGGCCCTTGAGCACTCTAACTCAGGGGTCCTCAAACTTTTTAAACAGGGGGCCAGGTCACAGTCCCTCAAACTGTTGGCAGGCCGGATTATAGTTCGAAAAAAACATGAATGAATTCCTATGCACACTGCACATATCTTATTTATAGTGCAAAAAACATTTAAGAACAATACAATAATTAAAATTAAGAACAATTTTAACAAATATAAATTTGTTAGTATTTCAATGGAAAGTGTGGGCCTGCTTTTGGCTAATGAGATAGGATTGTTGTTGTTATTGTGTGCTTTCAAGTAGTTTCATGCTTAGGTTGACCCTGAGCGAAGGCCGGGTAAATGACCTTGGAGGTCCGCATCCGGCCCCTAGTTTGAGGACCCCTGCTCTAACTGGAGGTCAGCTGTGACCAGCACTGCTGCAGAATTCCAAGAGGCATGAATGGAGGATGAGAGGAAAAAGAGGAGGGTGTGTCAAGCCAAATTTGACTGGGACTGCCTTCCATCTGGAAACCTATGTCCTCACTGCAGGAGAATATGCAGATGAAGAATAGGGCTCCACAACCACCTATGGTCCCACTGCCAAGACACTACACTTGGAGAACCATCATCCTCTGGCTACAAGGGATCGCCTAAGTAAAAATATGATGCCCCATAAATATACATCAAGTGAAATAAAAACATATACATTAAAACAATCATTAAAACATATCAAGTATTCAAAAGGCACACAATCTGATATATTCCAATTGTTATGTTTCGTTCTGAGTTCTTTTAATGCACTGTCACTGCTTGAAATCTTGATCCCACATTCATGTCTTTAACTTTTTCCTGAAGGTCAGGAGGGAGGGAGTGTTGGGTGAGTGGGCTTATTAACAAAAGACCCTCCTTACAGTAGAGTAACTTAACAGCAGAAGCGTGACCCAGCATCAGTAGCCCAAAGTGATAAAAAGAACAAAAACACACAGACCAATATTATCTCTTCCTTAGGAGGCTTTTCTTTGTAGTAAAATAATATAGTTGCACTATTTACAATAGCAAGGTTTCCACAATACAAATAAAGTTCTTTATACTTCCTTCTTTGCTTCCATGCTGGGCTTCTTCCTAATGCAGATAAACAGCTTTGCTCTCACAGAGCCTCCTCTCACACCAAAATTACACAGGAGCTTCACATAGCAGCTTTACCCACAGGGCCGTTAACCTGTGGCTTCTTTCAGCGAAGCTTCTCACACCAGGTCTTCTCACACATGGCCTTCTCATATTGTAAGGCCTACTTCACAGAGAAGCCTCCTCACACAGACTGAGGCATTCCCTCACTGAGCCAAACTAACATTAACAGGCTTCAGCCTACCCACTCTCCTAGCTTTGGCCCACTGACTCTAACAGGCTTCGGCCTACTAACTCATTTAGTGGGTTGTTGTAGGTTTTTTTGGACTACATGGCCATGTTCTAGAAGCATTATCTCCTGACTTTTCACCTGCATCTATGGCAGGCCTCCTCAGAGGTTGTGAGCTCAGACCTCACAACCTTTAAGGATGCCTGCCATAGATACAGACAAAACGTCAGGAGAGAATGCTTCTAGAACATTGCCATATTGCACGAAAAACCTACAACAATCCAGTGATTCTGGCCATGAAAGCCTTCGACAACACTTTCAGTGCTTAACTCACACTTTTGTAATAAAAAATACCCAGTTAATTTTTAATATTTCTGAGAAGGAGGTGATCTGATTTCACTCAGGAAGGAGTTCCATAGCTGAGGGGCCACCACTGAGAAGGCCCTGTTTCTCGTCCCCATCAACTGTACCGGAAGAGCCGCCCCAGAAGATCTTAGCCTCTAGCTGGCTCATAAAAGGAGGTAAGCTGGGCCAAAACAGTTTAGAATCATAGAGTTGGAAGAGACCTCATGGGCCATTCAATCCAACCCCCTTCCAAGAAGCAGGAAAATTGCATTCACAGCACCCCTGATAGATGGCCATCCAGCCTCTGTTTAAAAGCCTCCAAAGAAGGGATTTATAGGCTAAAGCCAGCTCTTTGAATTGTGCTCTGAAGGAGACTGGCAGCCATTGGAGCCGGCGTAACAGAGGGGTTGTATGCAAATTATACAATTTGCAATAATTTACAAATTATACAATTCGGAAAGACGGTGATGTCCCAATATGTCCCTTATATCAGCAGTACAACAATTTAACTTTACTCATCTTCTCACTAAAAACAATAATCATAACATTTAAAAAAACCATGATAGTTTCGGTGAGCTCAAATCTCTGTAGCCAGATGCAGTGCCTTCAGGAGCAAGCGTGCTGGCTGCCTCTCTGGGATCTGAACCAGTGGATTCAACTCAAAGAAAAGCCAATTCTGAATGAAATGTGAGGAAGTACTTCCTACTGTTGAGAGTGGAAGTTGATGCTTTAAATAGCATCCCTTTAGGAATGGATTTATGGATTGAGAAAGACATGACGCACTGGCACTTGGGGTCTAAATCAATGTAAGATTCAGGGATTTCCGTGTGGATTCTGATATAGTAACCACTCTGCTGTCAAGGCAAGAAATAATGTCCTCAGTGTGAACTGTCTTATGCTGCCTGAGAGCTGAATTCTGAGAAAAACATTTCCCACAATCCTAGCAATTGTAGCATTCCTTGCTTGCGTGGACTCTGGTGGGTGACAAGGTTTCAACTTTGGGCAAAACTCTTGGTTTTTCTATGCTTTCTTTCCTTTATGCATGATTCTCTTGTGTTTCACAAGTCCTGACTTGGAAGCATAGCATTTTTCACAATCCTCACATTTGTATTCTTCTTCCCCTTTGTGGGTTTTCTGATGGATGACAAGACATGACTTAGATGAAAAACGTTTTCCACATTCCTGGCATGTGTATGGTTTCTCTCCTGTGTGGGTTCTTTGGTGGATGACAAGATCTGGTTTTCGGGCATAGCATTTCCCACACTCCTGGCACTTATACGGTTTCTCTCCTGTGTGGATTCTCTGGTGATTCCAAAGTTCTGGCTTGGAATTAAAACATTTCCCACACTCCTGGCACTCGTATGGTTTCTCTCCTGTGTGGGTTCTCTGGTGGATAACAAGCACTGAATTTCGGGCATAACATTTCCCACACTCTGGGCATTTGAATGGTTTTTCTCCTGTGTGGATTCTTTTGTGGATCACAAAAGATGATTTGGAAACAAAACATTTCTCACACTCTTGGCATTTGTATGGCTTCTCTCCTGTGTGGATTCTCTGGTGTTTGAGAAGTCCTGACTTGGAATTAAAACTCTTCCCACATTCTTGGCAGGTGTACAGTTTCTCTCCTGTGTGGATTCCTTGGTGGACAACAAGCACTGAATGTTGGGCAAAATATTTCCCACATTCCTGGCATTTGTATGGTTTTTCCCCTGTGTGGATTCTCTGGTGGATCACGAGCACTGAATTGGAAACAAAACATTTCCCACACTTTTGGCATCTGTAGGGTTTCTCTCCTGTGTGGGTTCTATGGTGTCTCAGAAGTCCCGATGTAGTATTAAAACATTTCCCACATTCTTGGCAGCTGTATGGTTTCACTCCTGTGTGGATTACTTGGTGTTGCCGGAGATGTGACTTGGAATCAAAACATTTTCCACACTCCTGGCATCCATATGGTTTCTCTCCTGTGTGAATTATCTGGTGGATCACAAGACGTGATTTGAAAGTAAAACGTTTCCCACACTCCTGGCATTTGTGTGCTTTCTCTGCTATATGGTGGCTCTCATGCTGCAATTTGCAATCAACACCTTTCGCCGAAAGTTCACATCCAAAGTGATTCTCTTCTTGCTGCATTCTCTCAGGACACACATGTGTCATGTTCGGGGGAAAACATCTTCCACAGCTGGTGCATATGCAGGACATCTCTTCAGGACATTTTTCTTCTGTATGGACCGGTTCATGTTTGGGAAACTCTACGTTCTGAGAAAGAGAATTTCCATGGTTGCCAAAGGCATTCTTCTCCGTCCAGTCATCTGTTAGAAAGAAGAATAAGGATGAATGCTCATTCCTAAGTATGAGCAAAAATGAATGCAGGTTGTTCATGTTTGGGAAAGTTTTGAGTATGAGAATTCCTATAGTTGGCAAAGGTATTTTTTCTCTTCCAGTTACCTGCTAGAAGAAAATCAGTAAATGAAAATACATTCCCAAGTTTCAGCAAAAAAGAAGAAGAAGGGGAGGAGGAGGAGGAGGAAGAAAGGTGAGGGATCAAAGACATAGGTACACAAGACCTTAATAGGAAAGGATCCTCACTGGAAGCAACACATCCGCTTTGGTCCTTCCTGGGTCCAGCTAAAATGCTTTTTATTAAGAGTGGCCATGCTGGTTGGAAGGTGGATTTTGAGCGATGTAGTGCAGAATAAGATTATTTTCATCTCAGAAGCTCTGAGATCTTTTGAGCTTTGCTTACATTAGGTCTGGAGCTCTTTAAATAATAACAACAATAATAATAATCCAAAATATAGATCTTGTTTGCTGTGACATACTGTGCTTTTGTGTCAGAATAATAAGAAGGAGGAGGAGGAGGAGGAGGAGGAGGAGGAGGAGGTGGTGGTGGTTAAAACCAGGATACTACTTATTGGAAATTATAGATATAGAATTGGACAAAAACAGATTATTGAACTATTTGATGATGTCTGCCAGAATAAATTATGCAAGCTATTAGAGAACAAAAGAAATACAGTAGAATCTCGCTTATCCCTAACATAAAAGGGCCAGCAGAATATTGGATAAGCAAAAATGTTGGATAATAAGGAGGGATTAAGGCAAAGCCTATTAAACGTCAAATTGCATTATGATTTTACAAATCAAGCACCAAAACATCATGTTTTACAACAAATTGATAGAATAAGCAGTTCAATACATAACAATAATGTTATGTGGTAATTAGAGTATTTATGAATTTTGCAGCAAAACATTGCAATGTATTTAAACAGCTGTGGATCCAGGCAGGAGACAGACTGTGTTGGATAATACAGAACGTTGGATGAGCCAAGACTGGATAAGTGAGATTCTACTGTACTTTCAAAAGAACAATGGATAACTAAAATAATAGATATAATGTCTATGGACAAATTAACCCTATTCCTGAATAAACATACGGAAGGTTATAAAAAAAAACAATGGATTGGACTTTAATACGAGACTATATCACAAAAGAAAAGATAAAATTGATAATAGAATTACATTGAAGATAATAACAGAATTTGTCCCCGGAAGGAAAAGAAGGGGGACAGCAATAATTAAGAAAATACAAATCATGGTGGGGAAGATTAGAAATGTTTTATGTTTCTACTTTTTATTTATTCTTTTTCTCACTTTCTAAATCCTACCCCCAGATCCCTAGCAACTTGTGCGGGTTTTTTTCTATTATTTTTATCACTTTGACTGTTTTGCGTTAGACTCCGACACTATCCCTAATTTCTATTCTGTTTTTTTCTTCTATTTCCTTTTAAGATATGTAATCAAGAAAATAAATAAAAATAATTTGTAATAATAATAATAATAATAATAATTTATTTATATCCCACTTTTCTCCCTAGCAGGACCTAAAGCGATTCACATTATACAATACAAATCAAAGCACATTTAACAAGACAAAAATCACACAAAGCATAATAAAATAAGCTTTGAGATAGTTTCATTCTGCAGTGGAATGGAAACATGAGCTTGAACATTGGATCAGGATAGTTATATTCCAAACAGTGTAGTATCTCCAAAACTGGAATCTGTTCCAAGTCCCTGGAGCGCAGAGAGGATCAAAGATGAGAAAACAGTGGCAACCCAGAAATAAAGATATGTGGAGATGTACAACTGCTCTGATCATGTATCATCACTGGCCAAGCTGAAGGCCATACAATCGACACTGGAAACAGATGCAAGGAAAGGCCTGGCCTGGAAGGAGAGCAGTCCCAGCCCTGCTTTGAGAAAACTCCCAAGGCTTGGTTGCTGTTCTTGTTCTGAGTAGTCCGGCATTTGAAAATAGGCATTATTACAAGCAAAAGAAAGAAAAGGCCATACCAAGAGCGGACATGATCCTACGGGTTTCCTCCATGACCTCCTTGTACAGGGCTCTCTGATCCTCATTTAGTAAGGCCCACTCCTCTGGGAGGAAAGACACAGCCATCTCTTCAAAGGTCACTGGAACCTCAATAAAAAGGGGGAAAATTGCTGCTCAAACCCAGTGTCAAAGCAATAGACAGGGTTAATAGACTGCATTATGAAACTGCATTATATGGCAGTGTTGATAGGGCCAAACAAAATACAAATCTAAGTTAATGTGGGGTGATTGGGTTTTATATTGCAGGTTTAAAACTTCAAGTGGCATTCACAGCCTTCCTAGCAGGACAAATTATTTGCCTATTAGGTCCATGTGCCGCTGGCCATTTCCAGGAGTAGAAGAGATACTGCTTTGAATATCACAACACTCAGAAATTACTATGCCCGTCATGACTTGGCATATAGGACTGCCTAGATGCATCAGTTTGCACACTTTGGGAATCAGTACAGTGAACCAGGTGGACCTTATGTCTGATCCAGCAGGTACTTTCTTCCACTTAGAAACAAGAAGTGGGAGATTCAAGACCAGATCAGCATCAAGAAATTGCCAATTGCCTACTTCTTGCTTTGGAATCTCCCTGACTCTTTGCCTCTCAGTCTGGGTACTACTTATCATAGAATCATAAAATTGGAAGAGACCTCATGGGCCATCCAGTCCAACCCCCTGCCAAAAAACAGGAAAATCAATTCAAAGCATACTTGCAAACTACAGGAGCCAATTGTTTAAATCTCTACAACTTTACACCCAAAATATTTTGGAAACTCCCAGCTTTTATTATTCCTTTCATTACTGGGGACTAAAACTGGAGGTAGAGGATATCTCACTCAAGTTTCCAGGGATCCTTCTCTTTACCTGCAATACTCCCCCTCCATTGCAACCAAGAGCCATTGTTCCCTGTGTTGCTTCAGTCCCTGTGTAAGAAATCAAGGCAGTGGAAAGTAAGTTGTCCGCATTGGCCTCAGAGACTAAGACCATAATCCCCTAAACCCTTATCAGAGCAAAACCCCTTGAGCAGAAGAAAAATTAGATATAAAGGATAATATAGTAATATATAATACTAATATTGTGCTATGCTAATATAATATATTGCATGTACGTATAATATTGATCATATTATAATGTAATACAATATAATACTAACAATAATACAATAATTATATATAAAATATATTACTATAATGTAATATTACTAATAATATTGCATTATAGTGGTATAGTACAATATAGTAAAATATAATAATAATACTGTGCTATGCTAATAATGTAATATATTGTATATACATATAACTTGTAAGCCACTCTGAGTTCCCTTAGGGGTGAGAGAGGGCATGGTATAAAAACGGTTAAGGTAACTATCTGGAAATTTAGAACACCACATTCTAATCCCCACTAACCAGGAAACTTGGCCTAGGCATACTAGGATGTGTCACAACTTTTTTTTTTCTTAATAGTAAAAACTCAGTATATTGGACAAGAGGAAGGATTTTAATATAATTCTGCATAAAACCTCACTTTATCAGGGAGTATACTTACCTTGCAAAGTGATGTTCCTTTGCTGAGGGCTCTGCGTGGCATCTGATGGAGTCTCCCCTACAGAAGGAAAAGCAGGTTGAATGTTCACAGAGAGCTTCTTCACCTGAAACAGTTGTCGAGATACAAGACAGGATTAGAAAGTGATGTACTTCCAAATGGCACGGTATGTGTATGAAGTTGATAGTGTAGCAGGCATGGGTAAACTTCTGCCCTCCAGGTGTTTTGGACTTGAACTCCCACAATTCCTAGACTGTTAGGAATTGTGGGAGTTGAAGTCCAAAGCACCCTAAGGGCAGAAGTTTACCCATGCCTTGTGTAGAGTGTGAATCCATCCATCATTTCACCTTCACCCACCTCTAGAAAAAAAGGGGTATCTTGCTTTAATGCATTTTATTTTGCCTTATTGTTATTACTTGGACTTGGCCTCATGTTAGCTGCCTGAGTCCCTTCGGGGAGATGGTGGTGGGGTATAAAAGTTGTTGTTGTTATTATATTATTATTTTACTGATACAAAACACAGTATGTCACAGAAAATGACATATATATGCTGGATTTCATTATTATTATTGTTGTTGTTGTTGTTAGGGGAGACTTGGATGTGTCAAGGCACATTCTACGCCTGAACTACAACCACACTAGCAAATCTGCCTCTGCTTTAATGGCAACCAAAAGATCTGGAATCTTTTGGTCTAAGGACCATCTTACTTGAAGCTTCTGAATCCGCTTCAAATTAAGGGAAGCCTTGTTGTCTTAAGAGTATACATTACAACAGAGAAGTAACAAATATCTCAGTGGCTCTTGGAGGAGCAGCAGTAGGAACAGAAAAGTTTGAAGAACAAGCAAACAGGGGAAGATGTCCTGAATCTTGCAGATGAAATGCACTCACCTGCTGCTCTTCCTCCTGCTCCTCTGCTTTCTTACTCAGGAGGAACCCTTCTGCCAGGGCCACTGCCTGGGAACAAGTCTCCGCTCCACATTCCCTGACCCAGCTTGACATCTTTGGTGGCAGGAGGGTCAGGAACTGCTCCAGCACTACCAGGTCCAGCATCTGGTTTTTGGTGTGTTTTTCTGGCTTCAGCCACTGGCGGCAGAGGTGGTGGAGTCGGCTGCAAACCTCTCGGGGCCACTCCATCTCCTCACAGAACTGCCTAAAATGTTGAGGCTGTATGTCTGAGTTGGCAAGGTTATCACCCAGAAAATTTAGCATAATTCTTTCCCAGAATCTTCCATTGCTTCCAGTACTTGAGCCCTCAAGGACTTTTCCTGCTTCAGGTCCAGCTGAGTCTGGTCTGTCCATCTTTCAATCAATGTCCAATGGAGCTACCAAAGCAAACCTCCTAGTTATGGCTCCTCTTTCCCTCTCAGGGCCAAGGATCCCTCATCAGTCTTTGTGCCAAAACTCTGAAAAGGCAAGAGATTGCATTAACAATTGTTGCACTCTGTAGGCAAGAACGAATATGGACTGTTACAACTGACTACTGTCTCTCTTCCTTGAAGGAAATGTACATGATGATCAGGAAACTTATTTCACCTGAGTCCCATATGAAGCAAGCTTTTTTAAAATCTTTAATAAGAGGTTTTGAAAGGGGTATACATTATTGGTGAAAGTAGCGTGTAAAAACATACAAAACAAAAGTGTGACTAGACATTAGCAGACCCCCCCCCCCAAAAGCGTTGAGATGTAGGTTTATGTTATGCAAACTTCACGTTAACCCGTGATGTTTATTTCTCCTCCTCCTTCTGTGTCAAGTCTTCATTTTCATATCTTTGTGGTTGGTAAGTGTCGAGGAAATTTCTAATTGAAGGTCTTGAGTTATTTGAGAATCAAAGCATGATAGCCCATCACTCCCACTCATCTCTTATTTCCCCAGCCTCACCTTCCTTCTTGTGGTCTTCCACTGACCTCCCATCTTTGTCTCACCCTATAGCGCAGTGGTTCTCAACCTGTGGGTCCCCAGGTGTTTTGGCCTTCAACTCCCAGAAATCCTAACAGCTGGTAAACTGGCTGGGATTTCTGGGAATTGTAGACCAAAACAACTGGGGACCCACGGGTTGAGAACCACTGCTATAGTCCTTCCTTCTGACCTCAGCCCCATCCACACTGCTGCCTCATGAATCATTCTGGAGTTTCATTCTTTCTGCTAAATCTACTTAACACTAAGCAACTTTACTTTTATGATTTGTGACCTCAAGATGAACCTTTCATAAAATACATTTTTGTCGCTAGTCATTGTCTGACACGCAAACAACAAGAAAGATACATATTAAAATATACAAAACAGGGATTAAACGTAAGATGCAAGTTTAAAATTCACCATTAAAACTTTCTGGGTTTTTAAATACATGCTTTTACAGAAATGCGATTTAATATATGTATTTATGATATGTTTCAACTGTGTGTTGTACACCTCGAGCCATAAGGAAAGGCGGGTAACAAAAACAATGTATTATTTACTTATTTATTTACTGCATTTGTATACTGCCTTTCTCATTCTGTAGGCGACTCAAGGCGGTTAACAAGGCAAAATTCAATGCTTACAATGTCATAAATACAATTAAAAACATAACATATAATAAAAACTAAACAAATCAATAAAATATAAATTCATAGAGTCTCCTTGTTAAAAACATTGTCCGGACTCATTGTCTAGTTGTTCGATTTTCCTATGTCAGTTACTCTGCATTTGCAAACGCTTATTCAAAAAAGTCATGTTTTGTCTTTTTCCCCGGAATGTTTACTAATTTATGAGGCCATAAAGAAAAAAAAAAGACTCCGGGGAATGTGGAATGCGGAAGAACTTCATCGGTGTCGTTGATGGAAAGCAGCAGCTCCCCCGGCGGCCAGAAAAAAGTTAAATAGCCTTGGTGTATTTGTGTGTTAAACGTGGTTTGTCAAACTGGCATTGAATGTTTGCCATATATGTGTTTACTGTAATCCGCCGAGTCCCCTGCGGGGTGAGAAGGGCGGAATATAAGAACTGTAAATCTATATCTATCTATATCTGTATCTGTATCTATATCTATATCTATATCTATATATATAATAAAGAAGAGTGTTTGTATCGGACAGAGGAAGGGCGGTGTATGTGGCAGCGTTCTGATTGGCTGCCGCTGTGGTGCTATTTGCATATCGTCTCTGATTGGGCAGCTTCAATAGGAGCCCCTGGTGGAGAAGAGGGTTCATGGCAGAAACGGGGCATGACAGAAGGAAATTTGCATATGGTCTCTGATTGGTCAGCCTCAAATCCAACATTCCGAGATGACAAAGAGAGGAAAGGAAAGGCCGGGGCCTGGGTCAGAACACTCCCAATACAGATCGAAATAGGCACACAGAGCCCCCATCACCCACTCTACATCCTACTGCAGTTTGGAGGACTATGAACCATGGATGATGGGACTTGCAGTACCACCACTCACATTCTGAGACCGCTGTTAACCTTATCCAATGACTGATCAGGACCAAACTTCGCACATAGACCTCTCATGACCCACTTTACGTCCTGGTGTGGTTTGGCCGGGGATGGACCGTGGATTATGGGACTTGCAGTACCATTGCTCAATTCTTCAGACCACTGCAACCCTCATCCAATTACCGATAAAGACCAAACTTGGCACAGAGTCCCATGACCCACTCTACATCCTGGTGCGGTTTGGTGGAGGGGGACACCATGGATGATGGGACTTGAAGTACCTACCTCCACTCCTTCCCAAGATGGCTGCAACCCTCATCTAATGACTGATCAAGATCAAACTTGGCACACAGAGCCCCCATGACCCACTCTGCATCCTGCTGCAGTTTGAAGGAGGATCGACTTTGGATGATGGGACTTGCAGTACCATCACTCACATTCTGAGACCGCTGTTAAACTCATCCAATGTCTGATCAGGACCAAACTTGGCACATAGACCTCTCATGACCCACTTTACATCCTGGTGTGTGTTTGTCTGGGGATAGACCATGGATTATGGGACTTGCAGTACTTTTGCGCAATTCCTGAGACCACAGCAACGCTCATCCAATTACCGATAAAGACCAAACTTGGCACACTGAGTCTCCATGACGCACTCTACATCCAGGTGCAGTTTGAAGGAGGATGCACCATGGACAATGGGACTTGCAATACCTGCACTCCCTTCCTAAGACCATTACAACTGCCAACAATGATGGATCAGGACCACAATTCACACAGAGAGCCCGCATGACCCACTCTACATCCTGGTGCGGTTTGGAATAATTTGGAGATGGATGATGAGATTTGCAGTAACTTCACTCACTTCCGGAGATCACTGAGACCCTCGTTAATGACTAATCAAGACTAAACTTGGCACATGGAGCTCCAATGACCCACTCTACATCCTGGTGCAGTTTGGAGGAGGACAGACCATGGATGATGGGATTTCACGTACCTCCATTCCCTTCCAAAGATTGCTGCAATCCTCTTCTAATGACCAATCAAGACCAAACTTGGCACATAAAGCCCCCATGATCCACTCTACATTCTGCTGCTCTTTGAAAGGGGATGGACTTTGGATGATGGGACTTGCAGTACCTTCACTCACTTACTGACACCATTGCCACCCTCATCTAATGACTGATAAAGACCAAACTTGGCACACAGAGCCCCCATGACCCACTCTATATCCTGCTGCTGTTTGTAGGAGGATGGGCCCATGGATGATGGGACTTCAAGTACCTTCCCTCACTTCCTGAAAATAATGCAGCCGTTATCCAAAGACCAATAAAGACCAAACTTGCCATACAGAACCGCCATTACCCACTTTCTCTAATAACCCGGGCAACGCCGGGTCCCCAAGCTAGTATATAATAAAGAAGAGTGTTTGTATCGGACAGAGGAAGGGCGGTGTATGTGGCAGCGTTCTGATGGGCTGCCGCTGTGGTGCTATTTGCATATGGTCTCTGATTGGCCAGCTTCAATAGGAGCCCCTGGTGGAGAAGAGGGTTCATGGCAGAAACGGGGCATGACAGAAGGAAATTTGCATATGGTCTCTGATTGGCCAACCTCAAATCCAACATTCCGAGATGACAAAGAGAGGAAAGGAAAGGCCGGGGGCTGGGACAGAACACTCCCAATACAGACCGAAATAGGCACACAGAGCCCCCATCACCCACTCTACATCCTACTGCAGTTTGGAGGACTATGAACCATGGATGATGGGACTTGCAGTACCCTCCATACCACTGCCACCCTCATCCAATGACTGAGAAAACCAAACTTGGCACACAGAGCCCCCATGACCCACTCTACATCCTAATGCGGTTTGGAGTAGGGCATGCCATGGATGATGGGACTTGAAGTACCTCTACTCGCTTTCCGAGACTGCTGCGACCCTCAACAATGACTGAACAACACCAAACTTGGCACATAGACCTCCCATGACCCACTTTACGCCATGGTGTGGTTTGACTGTGGAACGAGCATGGATTATGGGACTTGCAGTATCTTCGCTCAATTCCTGAGACCACTGCAACCATCATCCAATTCCGATAAGGACCAAACTTGGCACACTGGGTCTCCATGATGCACTCTACATCCTGGTGTGGTTTGGAGGATGATGCACCATGGACGATGGGACTTGCAGTACCTTCACTCAAACCACTGAGACCCTCATCCAATGACTGATGAAGACCAAACTTGGCACACAGAACCCCCATGGCCAACTCAACATTCTGGGGAGGTTTGGGGAAGAACAGACTATGGATGATGGGATTTCAAGTACCTCCACTCACTTCCCAAGACTGCTGCAACCCTCATCTAATGACCAATCAAGACCAAACTTGGCACACAGAGCCCCCATGACCCACTCTACATCCCGATGCTGTTTGGAGGAGGACGAACAATGGATGATGGGACTTACAGTACCTTCACTCACTTCCTGAAACCACAGTGACACTCATCCAAATACCAAGAAAGACCAAACTTGGCACAGAGAGCCCCCATGGCCAACTCGACATTCTGGTCATGTTTGAGGGAGACTATGGATTATGGGACTTGCAGTACCTTCACCCATGTTCTGAGACTGCTGTGATCCTCATCCAATGACTGATCAAGACCAAACTTAGCACACAGAGCCCCCATGACCCACTTTACGTCCTGCTGCAGTTTGAAAGGGGATGGACTTTGGGTGATGGGACTTGCAGTACCTTCACTCACTTACTGACACCACTGCCACCCTCATCTAATGACTGATAAAGACCAAACTTGGCACACAGAGGCCCCATGACCCACTCTATATCCTGCTGCTGTTTGTAGGAGGATGGGCCATGGATGATGGGACTTCAAGTACCTTCACTCACTTCCTGAAAATAATGCAGCCGTTATCCAAAGACCAATAAAGACCAACCTTGGCATACAGAACCACCATTACCCACTTTCTCTAAT